ACCTGTGAGGTTCAATATGTGTCTATCCTCATTCAACGCGTCTATGTGTCCGGCACTCCAACATCACTCAACCCGTGGGGTTTCAGTATGCAGCTATCCCCACTCAACCTGTCCATGTGTCTGGCAATCTCAAACCTCACTCAACACTTCGGGTTTCAGTATACAGCTAAAATCACTCAACACGTCTATGTGTCCCGTAATCTCCTACATCACTCAACCTGTGAGGTTTCCGTGAGCTATCCTCACTCCACGCATCCATGCGTCACGCGTCTTTGGAAGCGCATACAATGGGGGCTATACTTGGGGTGGCGTGTTTTACAGCGCTTTGCCAACAGCGCCAAACCCACTTAAGTCTAGAACGGAGGAGGGGCTTGTTTTACAACATCGTTGCCAAGCGACAAGAACCCAACCCTGATGGCAAATACCGAGGGAGACGGGGTGGGGCAAAACAAACACATACAGTCATGCACACCTGTTGTACGCCACGTCCGTGGGCAGCGCGCAGATATCAACCTTCAGCGCGGTCTCGGTGAGGGAGGCATTCAAGCAGGCCAGGGGGCGTTCTTCTGCCACCCCCCGGCTCGCCGGGCGGGCGTTGCCCCTCTTGATCGCCCCGACCGCTCCAGCAGCGACAGTGGCGGCGACCTGAAGATTGCACGTTCGGACTAAACGGTTAACATGTTGACGCTGATTGACCGTGCAGCTCGTGTACATTGAGGGTTTGATAAACACGGCTTACGCGACCACGCGTACGGTGGTGGATCATTGACAGATTTCTCTAGATGCAGCAGCTGCAATCGTGTACATTGAGGGTTTGATAGACACGGCTTAGGCGACCACGTACGGTGGTGGTTCATAGAACACTGACAGATTTCTCTAGATGCAGCAGCTGCAATGAAACACACGGCAGGTTTTCAGGTATTCTGCCCCTTCACAAACGTTGATCTGCATGGTCGGAAGAGTGGTGTCATGATTCATGTTATCAGTGTTTGTCAAGACTTAGGCTTGAGCTCGGGAGTGCTGCCGACCTCTCTCCTCGTAAGCCAACCTCGGGCATCGCTTAATCACGCCGCGTTATTGATGGTCACAGTACCATGTGGACGGTGGTCCAACTGGAGAAAAAATACGGGAATCCAAACGCTCAATAGCTGATAAACAGGTCATGCACATATCACATGCTGTGTGCTGCCAACGCTTGTAAGAACATATTCACATCATCAAACCTTTGCTCTGGCCTCCTTGAGTTCGGGGTTGTCGTTGTCGGCCTCCTCCTCGTGGCCGCCGACCTTGAGCAAATGGGGGAACACCGCCCGCTGCGTGAAGAGATCAAGAATCTCCAGTCGAGCAAGGCGGAAGCTGCATGTCTGCGCGGAATGAACGTCAAGCGCCGCGAACGCGCGGGGTCAACAAGGCGAGCGGTTTCAATGTCATGTGCGCGGATGGTTCGGTGTACCACCACTGTCCAGCTTCAACACCCAAGCTCAGGATAGGACTATCGCTGTCCAAAGGGTATTCTGTCGTTCGTTTGCCGCGAGCTTGAATGTATTCCCCGCTCACTCACCATCGAGGCGTTCTCTCGGCGCTCCAACGTGGCCGAGGCGACGATCGAGACGTCCACCAAAGGCAGGTCGCGCCGCCCGTACAGCCTCATCGACCCGTGTGGCTGCACCGTCACCCGCGCCTGGAGATAGTCAGGGGGCACCTGCAAAAGATCCACAGAACAAAATCGGGCCAGGGAGCGAAACAATGGCAACGCGACCAGAGGTGAGTTCAGCGGTTAAGGTGCTAGAACTTCCGCGGAGGATTCATTTTATCGTTAGACGGGGTCAACTCGTGAGGAGACCGCGTCCCCGCGAAAGGATTGTTCCCACGGTGATCAGGAGGGTTGCTTACAGCAAGTGAAGGCTATTGAAGCAACCAACTACCAACCACCCAGTTCAACCACAAACGGGCTAGAATCTACGCACGCTTCCTTTCCCAAAAACAAAAAATCGTGAAGCTTTTGCGCGCTATAAACTTGGGTTCTCGATCATGTGCAAAGATTCTGCCCTGCTGGGTGAGGATCCAGCGAGGTTAAGCAACACCGCAGTAATCTCAGGTCAGTCATGTGATGGTCGACCTGTGCCTCTACAAGTCTTGCATGAAAATACGAAGTATATAACTTTGGTGTTGGGGGTAACATACAAATATTTACACGGAAAGAACGGCCGGCCGAAAAGTAGTGCCAAAACGCTGTGAGCTTGTGCTACGCAGACTGGAACGGTCTACCGTGTCACAACGACAGACGCACGGTCAGCGCCAAATCTACTACGGCAAGCAGCGAAAGACAGGAGTTCGACACCACAGCCAAACACCCCACCTTGTTAGTCTCCGCGTCGTGCCCGAAGCTAGCTGTGAGGTCCTGGAGGGCCAGGTCTCCGTCTTCCTCCTTGGTGTTGGCTCTTCCCCAGATGCTACCCCACCATCCCCCGCCCCCGCTGTTTCTTGCCGCCAGCGCCGCTACCTCCTGCGGACTCATCTTCGCCCTTTCCGCGTCCCGTTTGCGTTTGATCTACTTTCGGGTGCACGTGGTGCCCATTGTGGTGTGGGTGTTGATGCGATGAAATGGGGTGGCGTGGGAACAAGGAACACGTTGGGGCAGCGACGTGTGTCAAACGAGGCGAAAGAAGTTGGGGGCAGTCGGTGGGTTGTTTCGAGACTCGGCGCCGTCGTTTTCAGCGCTGGAACTAAATGTTAAACCGCACACAACCAAACCGCACACAGCCACGGCTACAAGGGTGACAACAACAACAACAGCACCGCCACCAATCAACACAACAAAGCAACAGACGGTATTGTCCACAACGCAAAAAACACGACAACTATCTCAACAGATACAACACGCAACCAACAACCGCAAGCGACAACCGACAATCCATCACAACAATGACCACAACCCACCTCTTTCCGTGCCATCGTCCGGAACATGAGGATGGTCTGCTTGGGGAGTTCCTCCTCGAGCTCGTACAGCCTGCGCTGTTCCCTCGGTGTGAGCGGGGGCGAGAGGCCCTGCGACGAGGAGACCTTCGTGCTCGCGTATGCGTCTTCGGCACCAGCACCAGCCGCAGCCAGTTTCTCGAACAGGAACACGTACTCCTTCCTCGACATGAGCACCTGGTTCCACGGTTTCGTTGTCGTTAATGTTGCGCGAAAGTGACAAAACCACCCAAAGGGATCGAGGGCCGAGAGTGATGCGTAATGTTGTTCTTGCCGGAAAAAAGAAATGGGGTGATGGGTGGACGTTTAGATCATGACGAGGACCGACTGCGGAACCGCCACACGCACTCGTCCGGTGGGTCGGCCCCAACGTGACCCCGGATTGACACCGCAGCGGGTGAGCTGTGATGGGTGTGGACGAATGAGATATTGAGAGCCGCATGAGACGCTGAAGTGACGAATGTGCGACGACAGTGGGAGAAATGTACGTGGAAAATAAAGCAACTCTCGAAGCAACTTTCGGCTTACCTTGTTCAAGTTTCCCCAGTCTTGAGGCTTTCCCCTGACGCAAACGAAGGCATACCTGGAAGAAGGTCAACGCCGGGTCGGGTTTGGCGGGG